TCCCCCTTTTTTTTTTGAAGGGAAAAATATACTTTGATGAATTTTGGGTTTCCTTCTGTATTTTTATTTTCTTACCGATGGGGATTTTAAATGGGGAAAAGAAGATTTTTGTGAAGCCCTTTTTTAAACTTTTGTGATTTTTTGGAAATTTTTTTTCTTTTTCTTTAAAAAATGGTTTAAAGGTTTTGGGCTGGTTTAAAAAACTACAAAAATTTAAGGGCCGATTTCCCAATTTTTCGCATTTTGGTTTTTCCCCGATGAAACACCTTGCTAAAAAACTATTCTCCCGGATGTAATTTTCCGCTTTAAACCTTAAATCCAAAAATTTTTCCTTTTTTTACTTTTTGGGTTTTTTTGTCTGCTGGGTTGGGTTTTGCTTTTTTGTTAAGGGAAAAGAAAAATTTGCCAAGGTTTTTTTAAGTATTTTTTCTGGGTTTTGATTGGGTTTTTTCAATTTAATTTAAATAAAGCCCTCCCAGAACTTTAATTTTGGGTTTTTGGGCCCAAAAAAAGAAAAAATAAGGAGAGAAACCTTGCTTTCGGGACTAAAAATGTAGGCATGAACCAGTGGACCCAAAATAAAATTCCACAGCTTTCCCCCTTTTCTCATTTAAAGTACCAAAACCCCCTTTTAAAAATGTTTTAAAAAATCTTTTTACAAAGCCATTACCCATCGCAAGATATGGTTGGTGGACTTAGAAATCCCCGCAAATTACCTAATTCTTTGATTTAAAAGCCCCAAAAAATTTGGGTCCCTTGGTTTACTTTTACTTCTGGAAAACCGAAAAGAACGAAAAATTTATCAAAAAAAAACGTTTTTCAGGTTTTGGTGGTCTGGAAATTTTTTTAGGAAAAGCCCCGGGGCATATCGGGAAAGGAAAGGGAAAAAAAAAAATTTTGAATCCCCCCTTTTTAACGTTCTAGCAAGATAGTCCCATGCAGATTTTTTCCAAATTGGGGAAATAGAAAAAAATTGAAACTAAGACCCGTTTAAAGGGTTTTTTGTTTTTCCCCTTGATTTCACCCTTTTACAGATCTATTTTTTGTTTTATGAAAGTAACAATTCCAGGCCCAAAAAAAACGCTTTTTAAAAAAGAGAAGTATCCTACCCCGGCCCCGAGTTTGAAAACACCCAAAAAACTTGGGAAATTTTTTTCTCTAACGGCCAAAGGGAAAATCAATTTAGAAAATGTTTTGACCTTTTTAATTGTGCAAGCCATACAAAACACCTTTTTGAAATTTAAAATTGTCCCTTCCCCGTAAAGGGAAAATTTTACCCCCTGGGGAGATATTTCCAAATGACGCCCCCAAACTGACGGTCTAGTGCCATTTTTCCCCCGTGTTTAAAAACTGTAAAAAAGACGGGGCTTGGGGTTTTACTTGGGTTTCCCAACCTTTTAACTCAAGAAATGGGTATAAAGTCCCTTGTTTTTTATTTTTTTTTAAAGGATCAAGGGCTTCTTAAAAAATTTTTGGGTCCAAAAACTGAAAAAGGGAATAAAGGGTTTTTCATGGTTTTGCAAGATTGTTTTTGACATTGCGAAAATTTGTTAAATTTGAATTCTTTAAAAACCGCGGGGGTCACGTTTTTTTTTACCACTTTTTGTAAGATTAAAAAAAAAATGTAGTTTGATAACAGCCACCCTCTTTTTACCTTACGTTAGTTTTTGGGGTATTGGGAAACATAACCCTCAAGGATTGTTTTCTGGACCCACTTTTGAAAATGGACCATACAAATAATCAAAGAAAACTTTTCTGTGATTGACCCTTTTAAAGCCCGGGATTCAAACTTGTGAGCGGGATAAAAGTTTTTTAGAAAATTTGAAAGGGGTCTACTGGGAAAAAGCAATCACTCTGTCGACCCCCATCTTTCGTTGGTAAACACAGATGCAAACCTTTGAAAGATGCATCCGTGTGGGAGTTTAAAAAGGGGAATTTGGGGAAACTGCATATCGAGAATTTGGGGATGTTTTAAATTTTTTTTTTTTAACTCTTCAAAACTGTTTGTTTTCCTTGTTCCAAAAGAAATGGCGTTTCTTTTTTTTTGTTTAGAAGGTTTTTAATTTCCCGAAGGGGACCAATTTAAATAGGTTTTTTCAAAGTCTGGCCCAAATTTAATTTCAAATCCTTTAAAAGGGAATTTTTTGAAAAATAACCTTTCAAATCCCAAAAATGGTTTGTACTTTTCCCTTACAAAACTTTGGGGGTTTCCCCAAATTTTTTACAAAATTTTTTTTTTCTGGGCTGTTTGAATACCTTTCCCTTTTATAAACCCCGTGGGCCCAAATAAATTAAATTTTTTCTTTAAAGAATTCAAAATTTTTAAAGGTTTAATTTTTTAAAATTTTTTTTCTACAAACGTTTTAGATAAAGGAAAAAGGCATTTTAATTATATCAATGTTATTTAGAAAGACCCATATCATCGAGGGAAAAAGAGGCAATCCATCCAAATTTTTTCCCCCCATGGGATCTCTCCTTTAAATTTGGGTTTAAGGGAACCGGGGGGTTGCAAAAACCGAAAAGGAACGATTTCTTTTGAAAAATTTCCACTCCCCAAAAATTGATCTTTATCACTTTTATTCCCTTTCAAACTTGCCAAAATCCAGAAAAAGGCCAAAAAAGAAAAATAGGGGAGATCCTGACAAAAAAGGGGAAAGTGGGGCATCTATTTTTTGGGGTAGGGAAAAACCCTCTTTTTTTTTCTGAGTTTAGTTTTCCCAAACAAAGCAAAAATCTTAATTTTTCCATTTTTTTTTTCCCCACTTTTAAAAAACAAAATTTACACCAAGGGGTTTTTTTTCTCGTAATTTCCCCAAAAATTTAGCAATTTTTTGAAAGGGGTTTTTTTAAAAAATTTAATTTTAAACAGCAAGAGGTATTTTTCTTTTGGTTCTTTGAAAGGAGGTTTTCTGTAAAATTAAAAGTAAAATTCCCTTAAATGAGAAATATGGGCAAGATCATGCTTTTTCTTTTGGAAAAAAAGGGTTCCCCTTTTTTTTGAAAAGATTTTATACTCTTTTTTTTTGTTTCCCAAAGGGAAAAGCAAAAATTTGAAACAACCGGGCCCAAAAACCTTTTTTAAAATTAAATTTTCTATAAAAATTTTTTATTTTTTTTTCAGGGGACAACGATGTTCGATAAGATTTGGGAAAACTTGGAAAATATATTTTTTTTAGGTTTTTATCCGTTTGTCTGTTTTTCCCTTTCAGGGTTTTAATCCACCCAAAAAGAAGGATCCGATCATCTCAAAAAGATTGGGTTTCCCATTAGATTTCAAGTTGTCAGGTGAGTATGTGTTTTTCTTTTCAGGTAACAGACTGGTTGATTTGATGCACTCTAACATTTTTATTAGTTTTTGTTGATTTCCCGTTTCCTTTTTCAGAGTCACTTGAACTGTTGCCAATATCTACGTTCCGTAGTACTCTAACTTCGTTTAGTTTGACATATTTCTGATTTTTTAGGAATTCGCATAACTTTTGTTGAAAGATTACAAATTTTCAACAGGTATTCGCGCAGTTTTTCCAGCATTCGTCAATTCGACAACACTCTAGGACAAATTAATGGTTTCTGATGATAGCTATCTTCAGCTGGTTCTGTAACTGCTGCTATTTACGTTTCTACTTTTTACGTACAAGACCACTTATGATTCTTGTTTTCCATCGGCTGAAGTGTTATTGACTGAGTAGAAGTTACTGTCCCTACTGAAGCTGATTCAAAAGAAATAAATGCAGTTTTTCCATTCATCAGGTATATGTTCATCTTTCCCATGCTTTTGCTTTATTTCACGGATGATATTTGTTCCTAATCAACACTGGAATACTGTGGATGATATTCGGTAGTAGGTACCACTAAAAACAAAGTTGTTAGTTGCATCATGCTCAAAGTTTTTTGCATTCTATAGTTGCTTCAATATAACCAATGTATGGTACTAATGTCCCGTTGGCTGTTTTTGGACTTCCAGTTCAAATTCATCTAAGCTATGAAGTTTTGGTTTCATTTTTCATGTTGTTGTAGAAATTTTCAGAGATAGAGCTTACCATAGATCCGCTGTCAATAAGTGCATTTGTTTTCTAAATTATCAAATTCGAATTGACGGTTTCATTCGATGATCCAACAAGTCTGTTTCAAAGTTTCATTTGTAGGACATTTTTCACTTGTATTGCTTACATCCTGTCCTGCGATGGAAGCATTCAATTCGTTTAAAATTCAACTTTTAGGTTTAGAGTCACTATTGGTGTTCGAATGGAAACTGTTATATGGAATTGGATTGGAATTCTTTATGTGATAGAGAAATACTTCAAGAAAATGTGTTGAATTTTTGAGATAAACTTATTGACTAAAAGTGTTTAAGAGGATTATCTGAATAAAATTGAGTTTCACTTTTGATATTACAATTAAAGCCTGAAAAAGTGAATACATCGAATGTTTCAATACATTGTATAGGAAAGCAAACATTGTCTTTCAAAACATGAAAATAAAGGTGATGGATTTGTTACTGAAATAAGAGTTTTCATGCAACGTTAGGAAATTTGGGAAAAAAATAATTTAAAAAAAGGGGTTTTTTATGGGGAAAGGGTTGGGAAAATATTTGGGAACAAAACGATTTTATACCCAAAAATTTAAGGGGGTTTGTGTAAAATGGATCTCAAAATCTGATAGGGGAATAAGAAAAAATAAAAGAAATGCAAAAAGGGGAAAAAAAAATTTAAAGGGAAAGGAAAATAGAGAAATAAAAAAAAAAAGAAAGGGGAAATGGCGGAAATGAAGAAGAGAAAAAGGGGATAAGAAGAATAGAGAAAAAGAAAAATTTGGAAAGGGGAGATAAGAAAAAAAGGAAAAAAAAGATAGAAAAAAATGGGGGAAAATGGAGAAGGGGAAAAAGACGGGAAAAAAAAGAGAAAAATGTTTTAAATTTTAAAAACTCCTTCCCAAAATTTGAAAGTGAAGACGTCCCTTGATGAAGATTCCCTAGAATATCACTGAAAAATGAGAAAATTTGAATGAAAATTGGGAAACTTTCGACAAAAAAAAGACAAAATTTTAAAACAAACGGGAAAGTTGTTCCAAGACGAAAACCACTCCAAAATTCGGGTTTCGATCAAAAAGAAAAAAAATATCTATCGTGTCGACCAAAAGTCAAAACTAGTGACGAGAACAGCAAAAACATTGAACGTGGTCGTGATGAACATAGATTTGGCGGGAAATACAAAAGAGAAGAAAATAGCGTTCAACTAGACTTAGATAGAGAATATTTTCTTATGAAACAATTACAAGAACAAAATAGACAAATAGATTTGGAACGTAAAAGAAATGAAGAGGAAGAAGAGAAAGTGAGGCAAAGAATACAAAATTTGAAAGTGACAGAATATGAACTTGATAAAAGAAGATTAGAAAGAGAAAGATTACAAAGAGAAATTGAGAAAAAGAAAGAACTTGAAAGGCTGCGTGCTGAAAGGTTGTTATTGTTGAAAAATCAGGAGGAATCACTAACCCGAAGATTGATTTATGTAGACAGAGATATTCAAAGTGACAAAGTTACATATGGAAATGATATTGATGACAGAGACATATATTATAATAGATTCCAAAATGAGAGTGCTTATCATGACGACATAAGAGACTCAGAGAGACAATGTGAGAGAAAAAGAGATACTTATAGTACATACAGACAATATGAGAGAAATAGAGATGAAGGAGATACAGATAGATATTATGAGGGAAATAGAGGTATACGAGATACAGAGAAACATGGAGACATGGACAATTATCTAAGTAATAGACAAGAATTTAGAAACATGAAATACGAAAGAGGTAGTGAGATTGGTTCAAACACCCCAATACTAAGAGATCGAAGTGAAGACAGAATTTCGTCTAGATTTGGAAAACCTAAAGTACCTCCATTCGATGGAACTGATTTCAAAGTCTGGAAAGTTGAAGTTGAGTGTATCATCAAAAGTGGAATGTATCCTGAAAGTTTAATTGCACAGACAATGAGAAATTCGTTAAAAGGACAAACACGTAAAGTTCTTCTCACCATAGACCCAATGGCAAACTCTTATGAAATACTAGAAAAATTAGAAGATATATACGGAACAACTCAGACAGAAGATTCAATTATGCAAGACTTGTTTAATTCAAAACAGGAGGAAAAAGAAAGTTCTTCAGATTGGGCACTACGTCTTGAGTCAATTATGCAACTGGCTATTGAAAGTGGTGAAATTTCAAATACAAAGAAAAATAGTTTATTGAAACAAAGATTTTGGAAAGGACTTAGAAGTGAAAAGTTAAGAAACAATACAAGGGTTACATTTGAATCATCAGCGAACTTTGAACAACTCAGAAAGAAAACAAGAATTGAAGAAGAAGAACTTAAACGCTCATCAAACGAATATAAAGTCCAAAGGACACCTGATAATACAAATATAAAAGAGGGAAAAGATACAAAGAGTCAAGTTGAGAAGGAAACCCTGATACAAATACAACAGATGAAAACGGGAACGCCATTTGACAAACAGATGATGATGATGCAACAATTAATGGAGAAGATGAATAAACTAGAGAAAGAGTTAGAGCACTTAAAACAAGAAAGAAAAGAGGTAAAACAACCAGAGTACAACACGCCATATAGAAACGAACAGTATACATATAGAGGGAATTACTTTAGAGGAAAGTTCACAATTTGTATATCAATATTTTCAACAATTCAGCTTCACAATTTCATCTATTCAACATTTTGTATCAATATTTTCATCATTTTAGCTTCACAAACTGTACATCAATCTCTTCACAATTTCAACCTCACAATATGTATTTCAATTTGTTCACAATTTCAACTTCACAATCTGTAGATTAATCTGTTCACAGTGTCAACTTCACAATATGTATATCATTCTTTTCACAACATGTGTATCAATATGTTCAAATTTCAACATTTATCATCTCTTCTTTTGTATTTATATTTCCAATTAATCATACAGATTTCATTTCATCCCACAATATCAGGATCTTCACTTTAATGATGTAATATTAATTTATATGTGATTCATTTGCTCTTCTTTTTCATTCATAAATGTTCACTTCAGATTTTCACCATTTCATTTGTCTTTAATTTTCAAAGTTTCTCTTTCACTGATTTGTGCAATTCCTTTCACTTTACATATTGAGTTGATATGTTTTGTTGTTTAGTTTTGTTTTATTTATTTATTTATTTGTATGTTCTTTTATTTTATGTGTATTCAAATGTATATGTAATTTACAAATGAATTTATTTGATGATATTCTTATATATAATATGAATTTAATATATTATTTTATTTGATATATTTATTATTTGTTTTATGAAAATGATATTAAATTTGCATGTTTTGTGAGAACTAATGAGAAAAAAAAAATATTTTAAAAAAAATGTGTCTGGAGCTGGTTTTGAACTGGGTCTGGCGCGCTTCAAAGTACGTTTTCGCAGCGGTCTATCCAACTGCGCTATCAAGACTTTACAATATCGATAGCGTAATTTTGTGATAGCGGTGCAAAATACCGTGCAGGCCTGTGAATTGACGCGTGAAAGTATCGATAAATACGAGGGCGGATCAAGGTGTATAAATTACACTTGAATTATATAGATCTATGTAAATATTTGCAGGTACTTATTTCTATAACTACCTGAAAAATCTGCCAAAAATGATATAATTACATTAATAAATATATCACTGTTATAAGAATTCAATGAACATTTAATCAAATATTCACTGAATGAACACCTTTGTTTAAATTTTTATGTTTCTGTCCTTACTTAAAAAACTTACAACTACCCTTTTCTGTACTATGCTATCCTGAAAAGGCCTAGAAAAGATTCAAAGAAATTGAAGTTGAAAATTGGACGGTATAAAGGGTGGGAAAGAAATACGGACAGATAAAAATGATATAGTAGGTACCTTGACACACAAAAATAATTTACAAAACCTACAATTTTACCATTCACAAAAATAATACACAATACTTATGTTTAAAACAATCTGAAATTAAAGAAAAACAGATATTTTATGTGTAAATATCAAATAAGCACACAGATAAACACACTGAAAGTTTATAATAGTTAACTTCCGGTTGAGACTGGGAGTCGCACACAACTTTGGATGCAAAGTTCCACTTGTTGATCCTCTATCAGAAATGAATTAGGGACTGCGCAGTTGAATATTACTAGTAAATCGATTCAAAATTTAATAAGGCCTTATAGTTTGTTTGTTTTTTTTTTTTAAACTTAACCACTCACGGTACTGCAGTACGTTTTCTTGATGGTGTCTGTTTATGTCTAAGCCAACGATGCTGGGAAGATCCACGTCAAATCATCTGTTTGCTGCTTTACCAATCATCCAGGACCAGAACCAAACGTTGGGCGCCACTGTCGCCGGCCTACTCAATGGGTAATGATAACGAACGCACTGGGTTGGTTCGACAGATTCTATTATATTTACATGGTAAATACGCGCTCCTGTAATGACATACATAAACAATAATAAGACACGGAAAATACAAACAATTAACAATACAAATTCAGATCAATTGAAATACAATACACAATTACATATAAGGCATTAAATACAAACGTTTACCTGTAGATATATCAATAAATAACTACAAAAAGGATGATAATAGTTTTTAAAGCATAAATGGCTGTTTACATTTGTTTTCAAAATATGGCGGATATCGATTACTCGATAGTGATTGGTTATTGATTTGTTATTGATAGAGAGGAGGTTAATCGAAATAAATACAGTAAAGAACGAAAGTATAAGGAGGTCTGACTACACTTACTATAAGCTACCACTACATTATAAACTATCTACTTTAGTTTGGTGTTCAAATTATACTTTATTATTATGTAATTATGAATGTTTTATATTATAGTTATTAGTGTATGATTGATCTTAATGTAGATACGTGTATATAATCATGTAGATAAGGTACTTTTATAAATAGTGTAGGTGTGTATATATCATTTAATTACGTGTATAATGCATTTATCAGATAATTCAACCCTATGACATTAAGTTGTAATTCTTTTTGAGGAATGCAATTTGCGACAGCAATGCTTGTACCACCTGATGTTCTGGCGTTACTAGTGCATATAATTATAAAGTATATAATCTTTTATAGAGATATTATCTTTAGGAGATAACATAGTCTCCTGAAATAGAGAGAAATAAGAATCCCCAAAGAAAGTCCAACACGGCACAAATGAAAATGTTGCAGGGTCGGTTTGAATAAGCTTGTTCATGGACGGTACTGTCAAGTGCAAACTTCCAAGACATAATAGACATAATACATTTGGAGAGAATTTTGATAATAGTAAAAGTAGATCATTATAATTTGACTTAAGACCTCGGCAATTCCATTGTAGGATAGAATGACTTCTATAATCCATATTAAAAATATTTATATTAAGTAGGTAACTTTATTGGACTTCTTGTATTCGGAGTTCGAGGAGGGGAGAGGTATAAAGCCTCATCCTCCATCAATTCGGTGTCGGGAAGTAGGTCGAACCGATTCTCTGTGTTGATCGGGTTCCGCATTGCTTTTTTCACCCGATCTGTGATGACAATTCGCTCTTTAGGCGATTGTTTTTGATACACTTTCTCAGAAGATGCTATTTGATTGTTTGCAGTTTGCTTCTTTGGAGAAGACTTTGATGGTGACTGAGTCTGCACAGAGGTAGACTGTTTACTTTGTGAAGCTGTTTGATTTTTTGGTAATGGTAACTTAAATGGCGGACATTGACATAAGTTGGCTAGGGAACCCGGGGGACGAATTTTAATACTTTTATCGTGGATACCCAAGATTCAAATTGTAACATATTAATTGATGGAAGTTTTCCCCGTTTTCTGATAATCAAATCAACAGCTCCAAATCACTCACTGAACTAAGCCCATTCATTATAGAGCTTTAATTGGAACGCCTTAATCTGTCAAGAAACTCCGCAATGGTGGACTCTTGATAGAAGCAGAGCGGAAACAACAAGCAGACATTATTCTGAAATGTACGAGCTTTTTTAACATAGATGCAACTGCCACACCACACCAGTCTCTAAAGGTAATTAAACCATTAGGCTTTCGTTTAAAAGATGATTTAGATAAACTTAAAATTAATCATGACAGTATCCTTCAAAATGACGATAAGGATGTTCCACCTTGGACTTTTAATTCCCCGAAAATTATTATTGACCTTTCAAATATAAAAAAAGTCAAAGATAAGGTTCTAGCAATTAAGCAAGAACATGAAGATTTTATACATATTTATACGGATGAGTACGACTGTGTTTGAAAATAATTTTACATCTAGTATGAGGCTACCAGATAATGCATCAATTTTACTGGTGAAGCAAAAGCTATCATTTAGCATTACCATACATAGCACAGCATACCTATGATGAATTTCTGAATCTCTGATATTTTCTGACTCGCTTTCTGTTTTAATATCCATTAAATAAAAAATCTGGCAATATCATGATAAAGAAACTTTTTTACGATTTCATGATATACTTAAAACAAAATCTGTTAAATAATATTGGATTCCAAGTCATGCAGGTATACGAGGAAAGGTAAAAGTAGATGTTTTAGCTAAACAATCATTAAATTTTCCAAAAACTGACTTATTTTTTCCTACCGGCTATATATAAACTCGTATCATCTGAATGGAAAGCAAATTAAGACAATGCCGTTTTTAATAAATTTTGCGATATAAACACATCTCTTGATGTGTCACCATCTTTATCTCTGTCAAACTGCCGAAGAGTTCTTTGAGTGAATTTACAGAATAAAATCTATTACGGGCCTGTGAAAAATCATGACATTCAAGAAGAAAATGCTTGACAGAAAAATGTTCATTACAGCTTACACAGAAGGGGGTATTGTCATTTGTGAGAAGATAAGAGTGGGTAATTTAAGTGTGTCCAATTCGGCATCAAAGAAGAACTGTTTTATCACGGCAGTGTGACAAAATTCCATTTTATTTAGTTCTGCCCATTGTTTTCTCGTTTAGGGCACACGCTTTTTATTACTTGGGGACCATACGCCGCTTTTCATGGAATGGCACGGAAGTGTCACATTGAAGGTTCCATGATAACCGCGGTATGAACACATCTGCGGATGTTTCTAAATTCAAAATTTTACTACTTCATGTTTAAATGTTGAATTCTGCTTGCGGGCGTGGACGGTAACTTGCACTTTCCAGTACCTCCATGAACAGGCTCAATCAAACCGAGTCTGCAACATTTTCAATTTCGCCGTGTTGGGCTTTCTTTAGGGATTCTGTATTTATCTTTTTTTTGACTGGCATGCTAGAGATTAGAATATTACTTGTTATTTCTTTATGACCGTGGTTATTGATAGCAACGAATTTTGCGTGTTTGCGTTTGTTAACCCTCGCCACTGGAAAGAGACCAACGGATATACATGTATACAACCATTTATAATCCATATGTGTAAAGCATTATCAACACCACACTTGTGTAAATGTCCCTTATTATGTTATCGCTATTAGCGAAGACCCCCTCTTAAGGTATCTATTCACACTTAGTAAAAATATGAAACCGGTTATATTACCATGTTGATCATGTTGAGCATAATTGTTTATTATACAATAATTGTAATATCTATTAATTTTGATAAAAAAATTACAGATTTTATGAATATTGTTTTCTTTTCCTTTTTTGTGTTTTATGTGCTATTTTATGTTTACTTACTTTTTTAAATTTAAATTGTAAAATAAATTTTAAGAATTCAATTGTCATATTGACCGACGATTATAAGTCAAAAATTAACTGGAAAAAGTCAGTAAATAATGGTTAATCTTTCAATATATTATATTGTTTATTCTTATATTCTTAAACCATGCACATTTGTATTTTTCTTTATCATTTTTTAAATTATCAATCAATTGAATAATTCATAAAATCTAATTTGTAACTTTGAATAATTCCTCGGCATATTTACTAACCACGAATAACAAATTAAATAAAATGTTTCAAAGTTGATAGTGTCGTATTAATACCATAAAAATGTACCTTTTTTCTCAATTATTGTACATATTTATTGTTTTTATCTCATATAGATAAAATGAAACATGCTATTGTTGTTGTTCTTGTTGGGTTTTTTCGAATTGTATGTTTATGTATAATAATAATCAATAAATTTGAGAGTTGATCGGTGTTCATTAATTATTGTAACACAATTAACTGACAAACATTCATTTTGGAAAAAAAAACTTATTTATCTGTAAAATATTTGTTATGTTCTGTAACGATATCAAAAATCTACTCCAAAACCGGGAGAGACCGGACAATAAACGTGTGGTACTATTCGCCGGTCACTAGTAAATCTCGGTCAAAATAGACCGGGAGAGACCAGAAATTACCGATAGGAGCACAGCCCTCTATAAATAGATTTTCGGAATATTTAGGTCATCAACTCATCATTCTTTTTACAGCTTTCGGATAAATGTACAACAATAACATACCATAATAACCCACTGTGTAAATAAAAAAAACCGAAGAGCGCGATTTATTGACGGAAAAGGCTATTTCATTTGAAAATGTTTGCAAGTTCGGTATTCATTGTACCACAGATTAATTAATAATCAAAATCAATTTCATTCCATAAAGGGGCGCGGACGCCAATAACAGCTACACACTATCAGCGTGTCTGTATAATCTCTCTCCAAACGCGCATATTTGCTAGCTTCTTTAAACATGTATATTCAGCGACTGGGTTAAACATGATATTTACACTCTATTTAAAACAATGTATCACTGTAAAGAAATATTAACTCGTTGTTTCATCTACAACAATATATCACTGTCGGGAAATATTAACTCGTTGTAAGATAAATATCTACATATAAACTTCATGATTATTCTGACAAGCGGTACTCAATTCTCAACACTTAATAGTGCTGGCATCAATGATCCCGAAGGACAAGAAAAATATAACAACACTGAAGTGAAGTACAGGGCAATTTTTTACAGCTGCCAAACAGCACTTGACACCCGCTGTTGTGTAGTATAAAAATCTTGAAACAAAGTGATCCCTCGGAAGCATTGATCACAACAAAATTACAAGAGAACTGCAGACTCGGTTTGATTTAGACTGTACATGAGAGATTATGAATACGTGCGACATCCCTCACGCCCCCTAGCACCGGCTTGAGTGATACTCAATTCTCAACACTTAATAGTGCTGGCATCAATGATCCTGAAGGAACAGAAAAATATAACAACACTGAAGTGAAGTATGGGTCAAGGTCAAGCTCAGTCTGGTCAACTGAAAGGAACATTCCAAAGAATTGTAATGTCCAAGTATGAAAACAATTTATTCATTTAAAATAAAGCAATAGTCGCTTTGGCACATTATGAGGATGTTTTAAAGTTAATAAAATGGGGCCTTATTTTGTCGAACGAACTATCATAAGTATGAAACTTGACAAAAATCGAGTGTGGCGTATTATGATACTACTATGACTTGCCTTGTTTCACGTTAATGTATCTACCGGTTTCCAGAATGGGACGAAACTGTTCAAGTATAAAACATATACGAGGAGTATTCAATAATAAGTGTCCGGCCTGTAGTAAAATGAAAACTATTAAAGCAACACCCATTTTTATTTTTTTAAACCTTCAAAGTAATCCTTCTGAACAATATACAGAGTTTCAAACGTTTGATCCAATTTTGAAATTGTTTATAGTCTTCTTTATGTATACCCCTATACAACTGATGTAATGCTGAACAAAGTCCATTTCTGGTCCTGTAACGGTGACCCTAAAGGTGATTCTTTAATCTTGGAATCAGGAAGAAATTGCAGGGTGCCAATTCTGGCGAGTATGATAGGTGATTAAGCACAGTTACACGTTTGGTCTCCAAG